CCCCATCCGCACCCCCAGCCCCTCGCTCAGGTCCATCACATACCCCAGCCCCACCTGACCCCCATCTCCTTATCCCACTTGACCCACTCAATTATTCCAGGCCATCCTGCCACCTTTCTAGCCAGCCACCCCATCCACATCATTCCGGCCTCGGCGATTCATCCCGGCCCCTTCACGTTCCACCCAGTTCCTCACGCTCTCTACCCGACCCTCCTCGCCCCCAGACCCGCTGCCGCCGCGGCCGCCACGGCCTTACACCTCCACCCTCTGCTGCACCCCATTTTCTCAGGACAGGACTTGCAGCACCCACCCAGTCACGGCACATGAAGGACAAAAAAATGAAGTAACCTCGGAGGAAGGAGAATTATTTTGCATTTTTGGGAAGGGGTTGTAGTTGATCCAAGTTGGCAGGCGAGGCTGGAGAATTTCCTTTCGCTCTTTAGCAGCCAAAGAAGCCAGAGGCTGGAGGGCTGGGTAGCAGCAGGTGGTGGGTCAGTGTGGAGGTCGTGTGTCCCTGCTTCCAGGGTCACTCTGGTGTCCCCAACACGCAGCAGTGCTGTCCCAGAAGAGTCATGTCACCTGTAGACCAGCGAGACACTCGGAATGGCTTTTTTCCCCCCCCCCCAGATTCTTCCCCTTGGTCATCTTCCTCCTGCCGCCTTGTATATGATACATGAGATTTCATCCACACTAATAGGTCTCTGAAAACCCTTTTAATGAGGTCATCTAATTAAAATAGTCAGCATGACTGAATCCAGCTTGTCATCATAAACATTCAGTGACTGGGAGAGGTGGCAAGGAGAGCGATGAGAGGGCAGGGCCACTCCTGCTCCAGCTGGGCCAGCACCAGTTTTCAGGCACTACAGGAGATTTTTTGGGCACATCCTGGAGCCACATCCTGAGGTTTTGTGTCTCGGTGTGAGCAGCAAAGGTGGAAGTGAGGTCTGGTTTTGGAGGTGAAGAGACAACCTGCGACCCTTCTCCATCCTGCATTAACATTCTTCTGGTGAGGACTGCACCTTAAGGCCTTCTGGAAATGCTGGGCTGCAGAGAGGCTCTAGGTGGGGGGTTTCAGCCTGAGCTTTTGACCACTCCTGAGAGGAAGGGGTGGAGTGGGGGAAATATCACTCTGACTTCCACCTTCTGCAGTTTTGGGAAAGAGACACTGGGATGAGAGAGAGAAGGAAAAGTCCCCTTAGGAATTGAAGCAATACAGAGAGAGTGGGGAGAGAGGCCAGGGTGTGGAAAGTGGATTCTTCCCTCTGTAACACTGATGGTTTCCTTATTAATTTATAGGATTCTTTTTTTTTTTTTAATGTAAAGAATTGCACTGAACTCTGTAAAACAAAGATGCTGCTTTTTGTAGCTCATATATAAGAAAGAAAGGAGGAAAAAAAAAAAGGTTACATTTGTAGTATACTGCAATAATATTTTTTACAGCCAGTTTTTTTTTGGTGGTACTTGTTCTGGTGGCTTCTGTGTAAATATGTTTGCTGTAGGTGACATCAGACACTTGGAAAAGTTCAACATTCTAGTTCCAGCTAGATGCAGAACGACTAAGCATGTATATTTTACCAAGCTCATGTATTTTTGAAGTTTTTATGTACTATAAAAATGTACCAAAAAAAAATGGTGGCTTCTGTGTAAATATGTTTGCTGTAGGTGACATCAGACACTTGGAAAAGTTCAACATTCTAGTTCCAGCTAGATGCAGAACGACTAAGCATGTATATTTTACCAAGCTCATGTATTTTTGAAGTTTTTATGTACTATAAAAATGTACCAAAAAAAAATATTAAATAAATAATAAAATAATCTTCATTTAGCATTTTGCAGAAGAAGGGAGAGGCGTGTGGAGGAGGAGACGGGTCAGTCCCCGTGGGAGGTGGTGGGTGCCAGGGGTGTTCCCTGGCTTTGCTGAGCAGCTGCTTTAGGAATTGACACTGGAGGTGGGCTCGGGAGTGTCAGGAATTTGGGTTGTCTCCCAGAGTATCAAATGCCCCCTTTTTGTTTTTTTAAATTTTTGTTTGTCTTTTTCCTTGTTTTCCCCTGGGTCTGGAGCGGTGCCCGGCGGGTGCCAGCCCAGCTGTGCCTCAGTGCAGCCCCCTGGGGAGGGAAGAGCCTTGGACCCTGCCCCTTTGCCACCTTCCCTGCAGGGAGAGGTTCAGGACTAATCC